GATATTAGCTCTGCCGGAGTCGAGGCTTAACGGCGAGAAAATGTATCGACGTTAGCTCAGCCAGAGTCGTGGCTCACGGCGAGCAATAATAAAATGTCAGCTCAACCGGAGTCTTGGCTCACGACGAGCAATAATAGGACGTCGGCTCAGCCGGAGTCGTGGCTCACGGCGAGCAATAATAAGACGTCGGCTCAGCCGGAGTCGTGGCTCGCGGCGAGCAATATATGAAAGCCGCAAAAAGATGATCAGCCTTGGCGTAAATGAACTGGTTGGGATAGCTTTCAGCATTGATTAATGATTTTGGCTCCGACTTTGATGAGTAAATTAGGCCCCGTCACAGGTACAGGAATTCGGCCCCGGCGTTAATAAATGAACTCGGCCCTGGCATTGATAAATTATTTGGGAGAGCTAAGTCTGTCAGTAGACAACGAAGTCGGGCCCCCGTGACTGTTTGGTGCGGCTCATGGTTTGGACAATGATGAAATTAACCCAGCTATGTTATACCTTAGCTCTTTTGGATATAATTTTGGGCCCAATAGTCAAAGCCCAAAAGCAATTTGTTAATTTGTTAGCTTGCCTTTTATACGGAAGAAAGAGTAAGATTGGGGCTCGATGACTCACAGTCTCACCTAAATCTGAAAAATCGGATCATCGAGAATAATCGCCGGCGGTCTTTTCGCAGTCGGCGGCAGGTTGGAATTTCGGCTCTTGTGGCGAATACGTCACAGATCTTAAGGTTTCTGAGTCGAAGGTCGGCGATGGTGATGTCGGGCCCAGCTTCTAAGACCCGTCGCGTTGTGAAATCGGCTGTTGCACGAAGATCCAAACTCGTTGACGGGAAATCCGAGTTTGCTAACTATTCAAACTTAACTGTGGTTGAGTCGGCCGGATGTTAATTTCGAGAAGTCAGGATTGGCACTGGTGAAGATTGGGACTCCGGCGGTCGGCTCCGACGATCGAGGACTTCTACTGTGAAGTCGGTTACTGTGAAGTTGGTTTGGGATCGCGAACTCGGTTCCGACATGGAGGTTGCGCTTGATGTTACCGAGGTGGGCCTGGCTTTGTCGGGTTTTGAAGTTCGGGCAAAGCCAAGTCAGTCCCGATAATTGAGAAGTGGGGAACCCAGCTGTGAAGTCGGCATTTGCTTGGAATCTTGTCGGTGGACGGTGGTCAGACCTCGGTAGCTGTGAAGTCGGCACGGCCGAGTCTTGTAGCTCGGTATTAAGAGAGGTCGGCGATGTAGCGTTGTCGGCCCCCAATTATGAGGTCGGAGAAATTCAGCCCTCGACGAACCCGAGTTGCAACTTTGGTCGTCCGACAATGGCGAGGTCGATTTTGAGTCTGGCCTTAAATGGAGTCATCCCCGACTTTGAGGTCAGTTTGTGTTATGATTGACCGGCTTGTCGACGCTTTTGGTTTATCCCACCGCCTTCTATGGCAGTGGTCACAGAGTAAGGCCGGCGCTGAATCACCAGTTTGTCGCCGTGCGGAGGTTGTCGTTTATAGATGGTCNTGATAGGCGACAAGGCCTAATCTTCATCAAGGGAAATTGTTTTCACCCTCTTAGCTGCTGCAACTTTACTTTTCTCTCCCTTTTTTTTTCGTTTGCATAGCAGGCAAACTTAGGGAGATAGGATTAGAGAGATAAGAGCAAATTGATAGTTTGGCGCTAGAAGGAGAGCTCGTAATTTATTCGGGTTAACCTTCACCGGCACACGGCCACATCCCTACCCCGAAAACAATTACTCCAAGATGAGATCATTCATACTCCTATTCTAAGTTCTCTGTATTCAGTGTTCTGTTATTCAGAAATACATACATATCCCTATCATGCTATGGTTCTACATAAGTATCTTTCTTTCTCCCAATATAAGCTTTTGAAACAAGAAACAATTATTGCTGCAACTTTACTTTTCTCTCCCCTTTTTTTTTCGTTTGCATAGCAGGCAAACTTAGGGAGATAGGATTAGAGAGATAAGAACAAATTGAAAGGCGGTGGGGATATTGGATATAGAAAAGCTGCAGCAATAATTGTTTTTTGTTTCAAAAGCTTATGCTGGGAGGAAGAAAGACACTTATGCAGAACCATAGCATGATAGGGATATGTATGTATTTCTGAATAACAGAACACTGAATACAGAGAACTTAGAATAGGAGTATGAATGATCTCATCTTGGAGTAATTGTTTTCGGGATAGAGATGTGGCCGTGTGCCGGCGAAGGTTAACCCGAATAAATTACGGGTCCTCCTTCTAGCGCCAAACTGTTGATGCTCGAAATTTGATCAACATGGGGGGTTCAGAGGAATTTATCGTATATTTTTCAATATATATTTTTTGTGATTTTTGGGTGAATTTTTGGTATGTTCTTGTGTATTTGAACTAAGAAAATATTGAAGAAGATGAAGATAAAACTCTCGTCCCTGAAGCGGTGCAGGAGAGAGAAAAGTAGATCCAAAATAATACAGGCGCCCCCTCAGACTTATCTCGATGATGTCCATTATCGGGGTATTTATATATATGTTTAATGAGCCCGATATTATCACAAGCGGTATTATTTTAGGGCCCAATATTAAATAATTGATATAATACATATCCACGTGTAATATTTTAATAGACGAGGCCAAAATTTGGTATCAACACCTCCTTTTTACTTATGATGATTATCAAGGTGAATTTGGGTGTTTGCTTGATGATGGAGGGAATGTTTGGACTTGATCATTGCTCTTGCTTATTTTAGTAGGGACTAATTACTTGTCTATCTAGATTAAGGGTTAGGACTCTATTTAGAGCTTAATCACTTAGGTTAGAAGGTTAGGGTTAGTGACCTAGAGCTTAGAACTTGCATATTGTTCGTCGTTGAATTCATTTAGTGTCGATGGCATAAAGACTCTGGTAGTGTGATTGCTATATTCTCTCGTTTGATTGTTGTTTTAGATTCCGAGTTCGATTAGCATTAATCCACCCCCAATCCCATTGATTAGCATGTTTAGCTTTTATTTTCTCACTTTGTGTGATTTAGACAATTGAGTGGTGAACGAAGCTCTGAACCGTCTTTCTTTGAGAACGACTCGAGGTCGAGTAGCTCGGTTACCAACTACCCTCAAAATACTACAAAACAGTGGGCCTTGTTTTCTTTCGTCTTTATTATAACTTTTAAAATTATAGAACACTTGATTAATTAATTATAAACATATTTTTAATTTTAATAACTTCTATGTTTTTTTCTTAGATTTTTATATATGATATATTACATTAATAATTTTTTAACGATCTTCATTTAATATTTATATGAAAAAATAATTAAATAATAAATATTTAATATCCATACTACAATACAAGAAAATAATTAAATAATGAGTTTGATATAGATCTTTGATTTAATATTCATATTACATATAAGAGAAAATAATTAAATACGAATATATCATGTCCATATATATTCATGAAGTTTCACTCTTGAGTCCTTCTTGGACAAGAAAGTTTCACTCTTGCTTGCTTCTTAGCCTTGTTGCCCTTGCCCTGCCCTTGCCCTTCACCTTATACATCGGGTTTTCCCTTGTCCCTTCAGTTTGTGTAGCATTTATGTTCTTTTGTATAATGAATATTAAGGTATAATTTTAACAAAATCATATTAACAAATATCATTAAATTATAATATAACTTTTAGAAATGTATCAACATTTTCTTTTATTTCTTTTAAATAGAGTAATAGGTTTTCTTTTTTGATAAAGTATGTACAAATAAATACCAAAAAACTATAATTTGATCCACGGCTTAAATTACAAATAGAATTTATTCCTCAAACTTAGTCAATATTCTAGGAAATACTAGATATATGTTTTAGTAAATAAAATAATCTTATATAAATTATTAAATATGTGTAAAATAATATATCTAATTTAGTTATATTTTTATATTAAAATAATTTAAAATAAAGATGATTAAAAAAATATGATGTGGAGTAAAATGTAAAGCAAACGGTTGAAAATGATACTTGATTCTTGTTTAACTCTCTACTCTATAAGAGTAAAATCTATAAGCCTGAAGATGACCTTAATGTGGAATTTGCCCACAAAAGATGGGCTCAATTGTCTACCTCTCAATTGGCTACCTCTGAGTTTGGAAAAATGTGAAATCTACCTCTCAGCTTCGGATGGGTTTAATTGGTAACTTTGAGCTCTACCAGGAATCTAAATAGCCATCCTAATTGACCTCTCGACTTCTAATGGGCTCAATTGGCTACTTCTAAGCTTGGGATTGGAATCTACTTGGAATCTAAATAGTCGTCCTAATTGACCTCTCAATGTCTGATGGGCTCAATTGGCTACCTCAGAATTTGGTGATCAAAATGTGCTCATTGACTATTGACAATTGGAATATACCTGATGGGCTCAATTGACTACCTCTGAGCCTAGTGAATTGACCTCTCAACTTCTTATGAGCTTAATTGGCTACCTCTAAGCTTGGCTATTGAAATCTGCTTGGAACCTAACCCTTGAAAGACGTATATATACCTTTCCTTTCTACTCTTTGTCAATTTTTGGTGGAACATATTTTTATTCATTCTTACTTTAACTTTTAAAATATACAACAATAGATTAATTAAATTATACGTATATTTTAAAATTTAATAACCTTTATATTTTTTTCTTCGAATTTTTCGTAATTATAAATTAATAATATTTTGACGATCTTTAATTTAATATCCATACTGCATGTACAAAAAATTAATTAAATACACATTTATGAATCGGTCTTATGGGTGATGGTGTCATTTTAAATAGCAAATAATAATAATAATAATATATTTTTCAAGTATTATTAAAAAAATTGAAACAAAACAACTAAAAATATATAACAATGAATAAAAATTCAAACCCACGTCATAGTAATAAGGTCATAGTTGGGATGATCGGTGCAGGTATCACCCACGTGGCAAGATCCAATCTCGTAACGCAAAGCGCAAATCTTCGCACGTGTAGAAAACGATACTGCTGCATTAAAAATTTGGGCAATCGGATCGTGTTGGTCGTGGCTTTAGTACGAGCCGTGTTGACGAAAAGGAGCTGAGGTACAACTCCCTGTCCCCAAAATCCTCCACCAAATTCCACCTCTTCAACTCCTCCAAGAGCCTATAAACTCTCACCTGGCACTCGTCTCTGAAGGCAAACGCCCCGAAAAGCCCGTCGAGCCCCTTCACCTTGAACAAATAGTTCTCTTTTATATAACCCTTTTGGTTCGAAGCACTTGTAACTCACGTCAAGTCGCCACTCGAACATGTCGAACGTGGCGACATTCTGGGGCATAGCTACATTGGGGCTTGGGTTGGGCTATAGCCCTACCTAAAATGGTGCTAGTCATTACCATTGGTTTTCTGCATTCGCCTAATATTTGTACTACCAAATTTTGTGGAGTCTATCGTGAACAAATATGGGTTCTCACTTTTATATTTTATATTCAACTCATATTAGTCGCTATAGTACTAATGTCATCCCTAATCTTCATTGTCTTCGGGTGCCCATAAGCAATTTGTGTTCGTTTTTCCGCACTTCCCGAAAATTTGTACCACCAAACTTGTTCCACTTTTCTAATTAACTCATATTAGTCCTCCCCATGGGCGACGGGCCATACTGCAGTTAAACTCACAAGAATCGGAGCTAAATAAACCCAAGCAACCATAATTTCCACATAAACACCTCACAATAACGAAAAAAAAAAGTTAACAGAAAACTATTGCATTTACCGCACAAATCAGATAAATGTACCAATACAATTGAATAGCACAAACTAATAAAGCCAGCACCAAATCCTTCTGTAGTTAAACTTTTGGGAATGAACTTCTGGGTAGCAGATGATATAAATGCAACATAATCTCTAGTGCAGCTCGAAGGTATTTTAACGGCCGTTATAGTTACGCTTTCACTCTGGATTCCACTTTATACTGCATCCAACGCTAGTGGTAGAAAAAAATTTGACATCGACATCATCAATAACAGCGAAAATACGAGTGATTTGCTATATAAATATACGATAATTAGCAGAAAAAAAAAAAAAAAAAAANAAAAAAAAAAAAAAAAAAATGTACCTGGGCTTCTGGTTGGCTGGCACAGGTTTTCCACTCAAAACAGCATCTATTGCTAAGCTCAAGTCCCTACAATTATGAATCAGAAAATTAAGTCGTGTTTATGTTTGTTATAATTCCAAGTGAAAATTGTAGAACTAACCTCCCCGTAACGCGTACGTTCTTACTCGGCCGTGAATCGTCAAACTGACCGTGATAAACTAATTCAAATGGCCTACGGCCATCCTGAAAACCAATTACATAACAACTAAAATATCAAAATCAGGCTTGAAGCAGGTTCAAGTAAGATATTATCTTTTTAAGCATTAGCTAATTATACCTTTTTAAATAAGAAAAATTCAAGCGTGCACACAGCTCCAAAGTTTCTCGCCACATCTTGGGACTGCGAAAAATTAACATGAAATTCAATCAAAAGTAGGTGATAACTAGCATTAAACATTTTTCGAACCAAACACATCAAACTATAAACAGTAACAAAATGGCAAGGGAGATGATACATTGGATAATATGCTTGACATAGTAATTTCAATTTTGGGAAGCATAAGTCAAGTTCGATGAATGCTTACCTCATCATAGAGATAAGGGAAAGGGTAGTTAAATAACTCAGCGTCCTCAGCCATGAATTCAGGTCCATCCTGTGAGGAATTGTTCATTGCTTGACAAATTATTAATGGAATCAAATACATCTCAAATTTGAATGTCTAAGGTTATCCGAACCTGTGGATGAGTAGTTACAGAGTTTGAGGAAATTGCAATCACTGCTACCCCTTTCTGCCACATAGAGAGATGAACATCAAAATTGATTTATTTTTTTTCATGGAAATACTCGTTTGAACAAATTAATACGGAGGTACAAGTTTCATTAACAAGAAATACAAATAACTTAAAATGAAATTGATGATAACTCGCCTTCATGTAGAAGTTTGAAAGCTTTACAATATCTTTCTTCAAATGCTTCACGAACGGACAATGATTGCAAATGAACATGACCTGCACATTCCCCATACACAAAAAATATTTAAATAAACAAATGAGTAAGTAACATAAATAATTGTTGCAAACAGAACAGAAGCATCCTATGATCCTATAGTTCAGGAAAATCAACAACTAATCTAACCAATGGGCCACTTATTTTCCTCCAAAATTCCAACATTATCGATCCTTTAATGGTAGATCAATTTGTATTAAAAAACATTCATTCGATTTCAAATGGAGCACTACATTAGAATGATCTTAAATGGTACTATTGTTTTTTTATCCTTACTCTCAATAAGATGCTATCCCAGAATACTGAAACAGAATAGGGAATTTAAGCTACTGCATTACTATATTCTCAAAATTAATACTAGATGATTAACAAAAAAACAACAAGAAATTGAAAGAAGTGCATGTTCACTCTCAAATTCACCACTCAAAGTGAAATCACCAAATATCAGAAAATTAAAGCAACGCCAAAGAATTCAGATTCTTACCAGCAATGCTGGGTGGTCTTCAAAATCGCTCAGTTTCCACAATTTCCCAGTCAGAGGCTCCCGAAGCTAAAATTAAGCATTTGAAAAGAAGAAAGAAAAAAAAAAACCCAAAAATTATCAAAGCAAAAAATAGGTATGCCACAAAATTTCATCCATGCCCAAGTAAAAATTAGAAATAAATTAAATAAATAAATAATAAAACCACACTTCATTCGCTAACCAGCGCTCAAACATGGACAAATCACACATACCTCGAAATCGGGCGCCCTAAAACCAAGCGAAACCCCTTTGGACTCGGTTCGGGCAGCTCGAATCGCAAGCTTTCTAGACGGGAGCACGGTGGCTCCACCCCGCCGCAGGGAAATCCATCCCAGGCTCGAGTAGAGTTTCGACGAAGAAAAAGAAGAAAAGTAAGGTTTTACCGAATATGAACACTGTGGCAGGACGAGCAGTCGCCGGCACACGGCAGTCGGTGACGCGGTAACCGTCGAAACACCCGCCATGGCCGAGAATTTGTGGCACCTCAGTTTTGATTCGCATTATCTGGAATGCAAGGGCATACTTGTCATTTAAAATTTTGAAATCGGGCTGACCTTGGACCGTAAAATGACTGATGGAGCCCAATTGCCTCAAGTCAGAAATATAATCCTCAACTAATTTCTAGGCGGGAATATTAAATTTATTGATTTTAAATTAAAAATATTTAATATTATTAAATTTGAATATGATTATCAGTATATGTAATATCTTGACATAAATAAAATTTAAAAAGACTAGAGAACATCAGCAAAAGCTTACAAAGCAGCTACAGTAATATGGAAATTTACAGATAAAAACATTGAAATAGAAATAAAAAAATATGTATTTTTTAAGTTTAATATTGATATTTTTATACTTTTTTGGGTCCCGAATCGATGGCACTACAAGAAAATTATTGAAATTCCAACGAAATTTCAACAATATTTTCAATATATATTCCAATAATAACTACCATAAATATTCTGATTTCCAATTGGAATTTTAACGATTTTCAATAGAAAGTTGTATATATATAATTGTAGACAAATTTTTTAATATCTAACTTGTAACTTTAAATATAATAAAGATACATATAACGCATAATATTTTATTCCCCTTTGTTCATGTTCACTTAATCGACTACTAGTTCCGATGAACATAGTCAATGAGAACTAATTTTATTAGCTAGCTTGCTTCGGCTCTTACTATGAGCTTAGGTTCCATAGCTTTTGGATAGCAAGATTCTCTTAGTCAAGTCCTCCGGCTGCGCGATTGAAGGATCTATCTCCATCATATCATGTTTTTCCGTAAAGCTTCGAAGACTAGACTAGGCTGCATTGCCCTACCTTCATACCTTCGCCCCGATGTCCTGTCTTAAGCTTCCCCCGAGCTACTTTATTAAAGCAGACTTTTCCTCATTGTCTGCATCTTTAGTCGAAAGGCTTGAAGTTTCAAAGTCCTTCTTGATCTTGATTGGGACTCTATCACATAGCAGGAGAATTCCGCTCTCTAATAGCTTGCTTGCTCCCTTCTCCTTTTGAAGAGCTAGGCTCAATATTGGTCTCAATCAGTTAGGAGTTCCATTGACAACAGACATTTCGCTAAGGATAAAGATCTTTTTTCATTTGAATTTCTATTAGATTTAGACAATTTCAAGAGCATTTTTTTCCAACGGTCAAATATGGTCCGGAAATAAATTTTAATGTAAATTGCATATTCTATAAGAAATTTTTACACAACAATAAACCGTTGGAAAAAATTACGATCATTAAATTCCAACTAATCTAAGGAAATTCAATTTCACTAGTTTGGACTATCTAGTGAAATTTCCATCATACTATTTTATCGTTCCATTTTTTTATTGAAATATAATAATTTCCTTTTTTTTTTTTTTTTTTTTTTTTTTTTTTT